GGGGTCGCCACGAGTTGAAATGACTCCAGAACAAGCTCGTTCTTTGGGGGGCGTGGTGGTGGTGTCCACTGTCCTGAGTCATCCCCAGACCCCTAAACCGGACACTCATAAAGGCCAGGTTGGGCTGGGCGGAGACTTGGGTCTCGGAGTCCCTCCACAGCTGGCGCACAAGGGAGATGGATCCAAGATCCCGAGGTGATCCCAGAACAAAGCCCTGAGAAGCGCGGGTAGCGGGGAGGGCTCAGTGTCCCCGAAGAAGCGTCAGCAGACAGCTGAAACGCCTTGCAGGCCGCACTAGGTCGACCCTGCGGTGGCCTCGCTCCCAAGAGCCCACCCAGGAGGCGCGGCTGCAAAGGGGACTGAGCCAAACAGGAGGCGGGTGGGCCCAGGACCGAATTCTACGAGGGGCGAGACCCGACCTGAAGTGAGGGGCGCGGAGTCCCTGAAGTCCAGACCCCTGAAGGAGAAGCCAAGGGGTGGCGTGCTGGTACGGTCAGAAATGGACCGGAACCAGGTCAAGGGAGATTCCGTGAGCCGATCAGAACCAGGCAGAGGCGGAAAGAAGGCCCAGCATGGACACAGCGAGGAGTCCAGAACCGGAGCGAGTACACGTCCTGAGGGCGGGACAGAGGAGGCCAGGGCCCAGGGAGCAGAGCAAGGGCAGGTACACGTCCAGAGGCTAGAACAGAGGGCCCCCGCCAGGGCCCAGGGGGCGGGTACACGTCCAGAGGGTGGAACAGGGGCAGAGCCGGGGCCCACGGGGCGGAGCAGGGGCGGGTACACGTCCAGAGGACAGAACAGAGGGGGCCGGGGCCAGGGCCCAAGGGGCGGATACACGTCCCCAGGGCGGAACAGGGGCAGAGCCGGGGCCCAGGGGGGCGGAGTAGGGGCGGGTACACGTCCAGAGGACAGAAGAGAGGGACCCGGGGCCAGGGCCGGGGCCCAGAGGGCGGAGCCGGGGCGGGTACACGTCCTCAAGGCGGAACAGGGGCAGAGCCGGGGCCCAGGGGGCGGAGCAGAGGCGGGTACACGTCCCCAGGGCGG